GATGCTGATCTCTTACTGTTCAAGGAATGGGAGAAAGACCTTTGATTGAACTTTGCAATTCTGTGTCTGTCAGAATCGGTATCCCTCTACTCACCTTAAACTCTTTTTCAATGTTGGCAAGCACGGCCAACTCATTGCTGAGCTCTAAGGCAGTCATTACAGGGTCTTCACTGGACAAAGACAGATAAGCAGGGCTGGCCAGACCTTTGTAAGCATTGATTCTGGACCTAGAATGGCTGAAAGAGTCATGCTTTTGTTTCTGATTGCATTCGCTGCACTTGCAGAAATAGTCATGTGGCCTATCGATCCGAGCTCCTTTTCGCAGCAGAGTGTGGACAATCTCATACTCATGGCAGTGAGCAGCCAGAATGATTGGTGTAACATCGTGAGAAAACCGTGTGCCATCTTCATCGTATGCATAGAAGTCATCATGCTGGAGCTCCGACTGGCTAGGACTCAATGCAAGCCTCTTGCCTTCGGCAAATGCGGGATGGTTTAGGATGGCTTCCACTATCCGAACGTAACCTTTGCTAATAGCCAAAAGCAAGGCATCCCCAACCCGAGACAGGTTCTCCTTCTTCAGCAGAAGTTCTGTGATCTCCAGGTGCTCATTGGCAACTGCAAGCTGCAAGGCATTCTGCCCCATATAGTCCACACAGTTCACATTGAGTGAGGGACATTCTTCCAGCATTTTGCGAATCACTGGAATATTTCCATATTCTGCTGCATCCAAAAAGCGCTCCTCCTCAAGAGAAAGACTTGTTGAGCGGTCATTAAACATATACGCTGGCCCTCGACTGGCCTGCCTCCTCCCCTTCTCCCGGAGAATGGTCTGCCGTCGTAGCGCTAGTCTATTCTCGTTGCCTCGGCTGTATGGAAATAGAGAAATCATTAGTTCTGTTGTATGCAAGGGCATATCCATTTTAAATAATAATTAATAAAAATATTTTAATCATTTATCTGCTGCATATTTTAATGCAGCAGGGAGACCAGAAACCCTGACTTTGATGCACTTTGTAACCACTGCCATTACACAGCCCTGGCATCAGTAGCCAGCTACCATTTTATTCCAACAAGAAGAAAAAGCCCTAGTCAATCATAATTCAAGACTACACTTTTTTCCCTATTTCATCCTCCACAGCTTTTGCATAATTTTTAGTGAAGCTGGATTGTGCATCATGTTACATAGGCAGAACAACAGTTTTAAAGTCGAGGTTCTTTCTCAGGTTTACATGGAAATCCCTCTCTGTTTTTCCAGCACTCTTCTATCCAAACTTCTCATCATCATTTGGTATCCCACACATTCCCCTGATATTTATGGTCACTTCATGAAAAAAGTGCTGCCTATTTTAATTTAGAAAAGAAGAAAGCATCACAGTATTTTTACATGCCAAGATTTCACTTTCTGATTACAAGAATATGTTCAAAAGAGAACATTCAGCTAAATTTGAGAATTGCTTCAAGAGCAAAACTACATTTTCTCTGCATGAATGTACAGCTTTCTGACACCTTTGCTAGACCTAGCAGATATTTTGAAGGACTTCACTAGAACAACTGGGTACCAAAAAAAAGAACATCAGATCTCAAGTTCACTGTTTAAATATATATTTTAAATAAAAAGATGACCTGGAGAATAGTGATGACATGCAATGACTGCCTCAGTCCAGAGACAGCTGGTATCAACAGCACAATGCAGTGAGGATAGCCCACATCTGCTCAGCTGGTAGGAGGAGTCCCACTGACACCGCATGAGCCCAGGTGCCCTCAAGCGACCCTTCTGAAAGCCACCATCCCCTCAGGATGGCATTCACCCGAAGCTCACTATTTGGTCTGCTTTGGTGCTAAGTCACAGCTCAGAGTGAAGACAAGTCATGTTAGGAAAGGAGTCAGCAGCTGTGGGATGAGGGATGAGGGACTGCAGAGCACAGCAGGGCACGCAGACATGGAAACTAAATTTCCTTCTGCCTCAGAAAAGCAAGCAGGCTGACTTCACTTGCTCGTACTATTCTTACTGCCATCACTACTTCGGCAACCATCTAACTTACACTTTGGATCTGGTTTCTCCTCTTCACCCTGCTGGTGTTTTTCTGACATCTATAATTGAATGCTCAGTTATAAACTGAATCCATACAAGATAAAAGCATATCAACTACATTGTATGACATCTGTTACTCCCCATCTCCACCATCCTTTCCATTATTACAGTTCCAAACCTTGATATCCTCTTTATTCCTCCACTCAGTGACTTGTCACCAAATCCTGCCCCAATTCTTGCTTCATGATAGCTCTGAAATGTTGTCCGTTCTTCTACTTCTACTGCTGAAACCCTCAGACATTCTTCACCTCTTATATTAATTATTACTTAATTAATAATTATTTAATTATCAAAACATAAAGGGAATCATATCAAAGCTCATTTTGCAGAGGAATGCTACAAAATATGCTACATTCCCTTTAACAAGAAGAAAATCTAATTCATGACTATTATTTCAGTCAACTAAGATCCCAATCCTCAATAGAAATTCAATTGCAATACATTTTCTCTCCCAGAATTACTCTGCTAAACTACACCACTACAACTTCATCTTTTTTTGGTTTTGAATGGTAGCTTAATGATTCTTTACATCCATATGCTCAAATACACTTCACCATTTTCAGTATTTCCCACAAAATAATAACCACGAGCAATATTTTATTCATTAAATACTTACTAATGAATATGAATTTAAGTATTGAAATGACAGTAAAAAAATCAGTCCTTTGTGACTCAAAACGTCTCCACGAAAAGTAACATTACAAGATATTATTACTTCTAGATTGTTTATATTTATCTTTAGTGTAAATTTCCTTTTTGCCTCTTGCCATCTCAGTTCCAGAGATACAGTCCTCTGCAACATTGGAAACTCTTCAAATTGCCTAAGTCTCAAATCTAAAAGGACAATTTTTTTGCAAGATAATCACAGGTATGGAAAGTGGAATATATCAAAATTGACAACTATAACACTGTTCAATATGCAGACAGTACTAATACTGTGCTACAATGGCAAATTTACAGTCTTAATTTGGACTATGTCTATCATTTGATGATATGGAATAAATCTCTTCTATTCCTCAAGATCTCTACGAAGGCTGTCTTAGTTATTGTGGGTTCAAAGCATATGAGAGAGCATGGATATATGCTAATGTCTTATAGGTGAACATGCTATATGGCTGGTTGAAATTTTCCCATGCGTATTTCCAGGTGTTTTAAAATAAAAAAATATTTCTATTTGTTGAAAAGACAGCCTTTGGAGAGGTTTCATAGAAAACATGAAAAATGAAATAATGAAAATGTTACTGGCACTGGCGACAATATTGGTGCCAAAAACTAAAAGTCACTAAATAGAAGCCAGTCTTTTTATATACCTGTAAGTGTTTAACTGGAAATGCATGTGCTAAATTGGAACAGAGATGAAATGGTAGAAAGGAGAGATCACAGCAGAGAAAGCAGATGTCAGACTCCCCAGTTTCGAAAGCTATTCCTTAAAAGGACTGTAACATGGTTCTGAAAAGTTTCTTCAAAGATGGAATATGAGAGTGCATTGATAGGGTGAAAATCAGCTGGGAGACAGAAGAGAAGGATGTTAACAACACGATGAGAGGGAAAAAATGAATAAGAAAAGAATGTAAGGGGAAATTTTAAAACCTGCTGAGTTTTAAGATGTATGCACTGAATAATTTTTAAGAGATGACCATAGCAGGACCATAGGGAGACAAGTTCCCTAATTTCCACAACAGAGTTAGTTCTCAAAAAATAAAGGACTTAAAAATCTCAATGATGTTAATCCTACAGTCAAGGGTTTTAAATTGGACTATATGTTTCCTGAGTTTTATAGCTTCCTGGAAAAAAGAGGCTCAGTGTAGTAATAATAAAATTTCGCGAAAAAATGTTTAGATGGTTCTGATCAACTGATCAGAACTGATTTTCATTCACCATTGCGCTTGCATATCCAAACTGTGTAATGCTTGGAAAAAAATACTTTTTTATAGTGAAATGAACTAAAGTAAAAACAAACGTTATGCACCTTGTACATGTATGTTTCTACCCAATTTATTAAATATGGTTTAGTTTTAGAGCTTAACTGATAAAAATTGAAGTTTCTTTAATGTAACATAACAAATTCATAAAAAATGGATAAAAAAGCTTTGACTGTATTGCTTTTCAGACTTTTTACAAATGTGATGTCATGGCAGTTCACTGAATTGTGAATTGCCACTCCTTCTCAGGAGATATTTGGAAAAGCAAGTATACCTGGGTTGGACAGCTGTCAGTAAGATATATAAATGTTTTTTAATTATTCTTTTCTTCTACTGCACTTTTAATGAACAATCATATTGTTTCTTTGATGAATACTGCTTTGTCCTTTTGGCATTCTATAGTTGAGTGTATAAATGCAAGAAGTTAGTAAAATCATTAGTTAGGAGGCAGCCCTAAACAATCAGGAAGAATAAAGCATGGTTTGGTCAAAAACAGCATTTCTAGATGAAATATAGATAAGAAAGGTGGCATTTAAAGTGATTACTATAAAAAGGAATACCTTTGAAATCAGTTTAGAAAAATATAGCAAGCTTACAAGATTTAACATATATACACCGTATCCTGGGCTGCATCAAAAGCAGCATGGCCAGCAGGTCGAGGGAGGTGATTCTGCCCCTCTGCTCTGCTCTGGTGAGACCCCACCTGCAGTGCTGCGTCCAGCTCTGGGGCCCTCAGCACAAGAAGGACATGGACCTGCTGGAGCGGGTCCAGAGGAGGGCCACCAAAATGATCCGAGGGCTGGAGCACCTCTCCTGCGAGGCCAGGCTGAGGGAGTTGGGGTTGTTCAGCCTGGAGAAGAGAAGGCTGCGGGGAGACCTTATTGCAGCCTTCCAGTACTTAGAGGGGGCCTACAGGAAAGATGGGGACAATCTTTTTAGCAAGGCCTGTTGTGACAGGACAAGGAGTAATGGATTTAAACTAAAGAAGAATAGATTTAGGCTAGACATAAGAAAGAAGTTTTCTACAGTGAGGGTGGTGAAGCACTGGCACAGGTTGCCCAGAGAGGTGGTAGAGGCCCCATCCCGGGCAACATTCAAGGTGAGGTTGGACGGGGCTCTGAGCAACCTGATCTGGTTAAAGCTGTCCCTGCTCACTGCAGGGGGGTTGGGCTAGGTGACCTCTAAAGGTCCCTTCCAACCCAAAGCATTCTATGATTCTATACAGGAAAATTAGGATACATATAAAAATAAGAGCATATAGCTTTTTTCTGAGCTACAGTTCCACAGTTCACAAGACTTGTATTTATTAGTAATAAAAAAGTTTGCTTTCAAAATGAAGTTACGCATAGAACTACATATTGCCCTGCTGGCATTTAGATATTTTGTGTTGTTTGAAAAAAGAGGAAAAACTATTTATTACAAAATATCAAATATTTAAACTTATTTTGATATGTAATAGTTACAGGTAGCTATAACTGTGCTTGAATCATTTAGATTGCTTTGATATTATATAGTCAACTATTTGACTTATATTTGACTTGTGTCTCCTGTTCCTACTTCTTTTACAGTAGAAGCTATAATGATGTTTGGATTCCACAAGGCTAAGTAAGTTAGGGTAGCAAAAGGTGAAAACATTCACCTCTATCTGAGAAGTCACTGTGTGATTTAGCTCTTGACTTAAATGAACTGTTACAGTCAGGTTTTTTTGGACTACCAGTTGCTCGGCTTCTCTTTAAGTTGTTTTATGTCAAATGTAAGCACTATCACAATAACAAAATGCAAGTTTTATTATTCATACGAATGGTACTGCTTTTCAGCATTTGTCATGGAGTCAGAGAACTCCAACTG